CAGCCAGCTGTATAGCTGTAATTTACATATATGTATATTTTGTCAATATCATCCCGCTTGAGTTAGGGGCATCAAAGTGGCAAGACACCGCACAGGGAAAGGTCTGCTGTATATGTGCACATTTTCATAATCAAAGCCAAACAGTGTGATGATGGCTGGCGTGGTGATACCATGTCCTTTCCTTCATCCCCCACGAATGGGTTTTCATTGGGGTTGTTCAGTGCTGTTCTTTGTATCAAGATGTTGTTTGTTGTTTTTGAGTGGCTTGGAACAACGTGGTAGAGCGTGATCATCGACACTTGGCCATGCAGTGCAAGTAGTCAAAAGCACATAAAAAGATATCTAATCTGTAACATGGGAATGAAGTTAAAGCAAACCATAAATACAGAAAAAAACCTTCTTTTTTTTCGCTTCTTGTAAGTGTTCCATTCTTAAGCTACATCATAACAGACTATTTCTTATTGCATCCACAATCTCCTTGCAGCAACTTCGGCAGTTTATTTAAGTAGGACTAATGATGGATATAAGGAGAGGGTTTCTTGTAGTCACTGTCGCAGAGTATGGCGGTGGGCTTCTTCAACTTTGGAACAGCATTTGATCTATGTTAAAGTGGAGTATTTGTTGTCTTACATGGGGTCTGTGACTAGAAAGCAGATGCTGTTGGAACTAATGCTGGTTAGAGTGTTCCCAACAGCCTTAAACCTTAGAAATATATAAACATTATCTACTGGCCTGGTAACGGAAACTGCAACGCCATGGGGTAACGAGACCAGACTCTGACAAAAACGCCCCCAACTACATGCTATGGAATCACAGACTATTAACAGGTATGGTCTCTTTAAGAACTGAGAGCCCAGTTTGTTTACTTTTGTGCCAAGCACGTGCCCAATAAGTAGCTTTTTTTGTGACAAAACCATGTTTTAGCGGTGTTTTATGAAATCATGGTGTAAAAAATATGAGATCAGTCTGAGGCATATGTGATATACCATGACAATTGGAGGTCAATTACTGGCAAATTATGGAGCTATAACATTAACAAAGTTAATTTTCTGTGTTAGTTATATGCTAGTGAGGCAGGTTAACTGTACTTCACTAAGCTTCTTAAAAAACAGATGGTGCCCTGCCCCATATCAGTGAAGCAATACTCTGTTTTGGGAATGTGAGACCATGAACTGCTGGATTATGGTGCCTAGTTGGACAGTTGTTCTCAACAAGAATGTTGGGTGATTTTAAAATGTTTACAAGATGATCGCAATGTTGCAAATGTGCAACTCCACTCAACAATGCCTGTTAAGCATGCTCTTCTAAGTTTGGTCTTCTGAAATCTTTATTGTTTAATCTGAGTCTCCAACTAAGAAAGGAAACAGAGTAAGTGTGCACTGTATTGCACTAGACACAATTTGAACTACCCTGGGTTGTTTAGGTGTGTAGTAAAATCCTTAACCAAGTGAACAGCATTTCATAAAGTGCAGTTGAGAATACTGTGTTGTATAGTTCATCTATGCAAAAATAGTGTACTTTGTGTTAGTGCACTATTAAAATGTCAGTTGTACCATTGTGTTTACCAGGGTGGAAGATCTGTAAGGTTAAAATATATTGTATAATATAGCATGTGAATACTCATTAGTTGACCAGCTACACATCACAAGCACCTGCCATTTCCTATAGTGGATTCCCTAACGTCATTTATTCCGTTTACGTCGGGATTGTCTGTTCAGAAGAGATTGCATAAATTGGAGAAATTTGAGTATTTGACCAAATGAATATTATCAAAACTAAGACCAAGCAATTAGCTCTCAAGGAGCACAGGGACGGCAATGAGGTGAGAGAATTTGTAGAGCACCTATTGAACTGACTCTGGCTAAAGCGTGTGTGAGTATTCATGTCACTAATGTAGGTAATACTGTAAGTATGGGTCGATACTGGGATTTCCTGGATGGTACTAGAATCGCGAGGGGATATTATATGCCCATACCTTGGCTGTGTGTCAGCAGTCAGGGCACTAGAAAGACTGATTGAGGTGATACTTTCAGCCATGGATTACCTTCTCCAGATATGACAAGCTTGATGAGAAGTTGCTTCCAATTTAAATGTTCAATTGGTTAATTAGCCCAAAGTACTAGACTTGGTGTCGATGAACCTTATGGTTTTGGTTCTCTGTGGTTGTAATGATTGAATTTCCCTTTTGTCTCTAATGTTTCAAGAAGATATTATGGTAGTAGTATGGTATTTCAAGTGTTTAGCACAATATTCATTATCAACAAAATCACTGAGGTTCCTCGGTTGCTCCTAAGAAAGGAATGTATGAGTGCATCTCCATTTTTTACTTCATCCAAACTTCCTGTAGCCATATTGGAAATGTATTTTTTGGGTTTTTGCTTTTGCTGTGACAGCGCAGGGTTCATGAATGTGAAATTGTGTGTGTGTGATCTGAGCATTAGTACTATACCTATGATTTACTTACAGAGATGGATGCAAGTTTAAGCATGGCTGATGATGAAATATAGCATCTTATGGCTCTATTTTTCATCTTTATCTTCAGCTTTTTGCGCAGACATAACTCACTTCTGTTATAAGAAATTAATAGTAAGTTAAAACCCTAATACACTTTACACTCGCTTTACGAGAGAAAAATATTGTATGGTAGGTCTGAAATTATTCTGCCAAGGTTAATGAAGAGAGGTAACAAAGTTTGACAGCTCGAAATGTCATAAAGCAAGAAGATGTCGACTTTTTCAGTTCTTTTCATCTAACCCTGCTGCTTAATTTGGCAAGCGCCTTCCGACGATTGATCCCAACTTTCCATGCTGTCATTGTTAGAGGAAACGGTATAGGGAGTGAAACGCCAGATCTGGATATGATCAATTTCTACTGTTGAAAGTTCGAGTTCGCTCAACTACCATATGCTTGCAAAAACAGCAACAGAAAAAGCGAAGAGAAAATTGAAAGAACAGCTTTGAAACTTTTTTGGTTTTGTTTCCTGAAGGCAGCCTGCTTATTGCATAGTATAAAACACTTTTAAGACAAATAACATATTTGGAGAATGTCAGGCAGATGGATTTACCGAGGTTGAATCCTGAGTGGTAACACTGTGTACAGTTTTCTGACCTCCTTCAACTCAGTATGCAGCACATAGACTTTTTGTGGTGCTTCATCATGCTTGCCCCCCAAGGTGTATGGTAAAGGCAAAGATTACTTACAAGGTCTGACACACGACCAAGGGATTTTTCTCTTTCCTTTTTAAAATAACACTGATTTTATTTTGATAATTACGCTTATGTCTCAATGTCAGTGATAGGTCAAGACAGCACCAATACATGTATATAACCAGTTAAATGTTTGAGTTGAGTACAGTAAACTAGGATTATACCAAACTTAAAGGGGCCACTGATTTAGATGTTTGTTGTATGCATTTAGAGGAAAATATTAAGCATGTTGCCAGGACAAAAATGTAACATTTTGTTATATTCGTCAGGTCGTTATGAGTGTGTTTGTGATAAATGTACTTCACTGTAGTAAGGTTGAAAATTTGGGTCACTGTGGTTTCAGGGTATCCTTGAGCCAGGTGGTTTCTGAAGTGTACATGATACTTACAAAGTTTATATCATTAAGAGGGTCTGTACCCTTTAGACAGGTAGAGTCACATGTGTCTAACGGTTACCATTACTGATGCAACATGTATTGGTGTCCTTAGTGATATCATATTCAATTATATTGGAGTTCATAAATGTACATTGCAAGCCGCATAAGCTTCATACAGTGCCTTGTTCACAGGCAAGTGGCCTGTCTTGTTCAGAACCCAGAGTGGCTGCAATGCGGTGTGATGGAAGGGAGGCAACTCTTGCTCTACTTCCATCCAACATGAACACATTGTGCTTACAAAGGGTTCTTGAAATCTGCAATGGAATCAAATTACATAACTGCCAGTTACTGATGATCATTATTGAGTTTTTACCTGTATGTATGAAAGGTTTGATTAGTTTTCTATGATGAAACTCATGTTAAATATATGCCGCCTGATCATGCTGAGGCTGTTGGTATTTTACAGCTCAAAAAACCTGCAGATGAGTTATTTTGAGGATATTTTATTATCTGAAACAGTTTTTATAACTCATGTTTTCATCAGACGAATGTTAAATGAAACCACAGCCCAAATTAAATGTTTCCTCTTTTTGACACACTTGCTGACATGAAACTGAAATGCATGCATAAATATGATAACCTCAGTTTTAAATGAAACTTAAATGTGCTTGAGATGTAGATGGAGATATGAAATTCAAAAATGTTACAAGTCAGATTTGTGTGTCAACAAAATACTTTTTGCCCATTGATTCAAAACCACACGTTACCCTTTGCAGAGTTATGTCCCTTAGTTGCAGTTTCTGGTTCATATTTCAGATTCCCCAAGATAAAGATCAGTGCTTTACTCTTGTTTGTGGATTTAAACCTGCAATGCATATATACTACTCAGAAGATTTTATTGAACCCCTGATTTTTTCATATAATACAAGCAAAACTGTAATTTTAAGAGGAGACTAAATTGATTTGATGGTCAGACTTGTTGACTTGGTTGGCTGTGTCTGCTGAGAATATTAATCACTGGATTGTCTGGACCAGACTTAATAATTGACAGACCACCTTGATGTAGTTAGAATATTGCAGAATGTGGTGTTAAAGACGCTGGGTTCAGTGATGGCTGACATGGTATTATTTAGCTGAAATATACAAGTTGCAATAATCCCTTACTACTCACTTAAGGGGCGGTGGTGTAGCCTAGTGGTTAAAGCGTTCACTTCGTCACACCAAAGACCCAGGTTTGATTCCCCACATGGATACAATGTGTGAAGCCCATTTCTGGTGTCCCGGACATGATATTGCTGGAATATTGCTAAAAGCGGCGTAAAACCATACTCACTCACACTACTGCTCACTTAATGCTCCTATAGTTTATGTAAATTACTGAAAACCAACAGAAACATAATGTTTTGTGTTTATTACAGGGAGGAGATGCTAGTGCTGTAGCTGCCCCAGCCAGGGGAGGTGCACCACCACCACCCCCTCCTGGCCCCCCTCCTCCACCTCCTCCAGCACCTGTTGACTCCGCCCCAGCAGGGGGTGGCTCTGAACAAGAACGAGCTGCCCTGTTCAGTCAGCTCAACAGGGGAACAGATATCACAAAAGGTGAGTGTACTTACGCTGAAGGGGACGTTGTCGGCACTGGTACTACAGATGTGTACCCAGGTACGTTTCTATATACAGAAAAGTACCAGGCCAAAATCGGAATACAGAAACGTACCCTTGGATGATTCCATTGTGTTGTTGTTTTCTTGATTGGAACTGTCATACGGTTGTAATTAGATTTGATTGCGTTCTATAAGAAACGACCATATGCAGTAACGAATATTTCGCAGAGCACAATAAAATTTGCAGTCAGTTGAACGGGAACAACTACATACGGTTTCGGTTTTGGGTTGCGAAATAGGGACTCGTCGTCCGTGTAAGGTGCCGGGTACGTTTCTGTATTTTGACTTTGTTTAGGGTACATTACTGTACATTTAGGGTACAAACGTACCTGGGGTACATATCTGTAGTACCTGTACTACCTCCTTTGTTTTACAATTTTAATTGTTATTATTACTTTCTAACCTCTCCACCCGTGACAGAACAAAGTTTAAAGGATATGGAAAACAGTTCGCTTAAACTTCAAAGTTTTAACGTTAATACTGTAATAATGTATGCTTTTTTTGTATTTTCATAGTTCAATACAATTACAAAAAATTAGTTTTGCATTATGATGGTGTGTCAAGGTACCCTGGGGTAGCTTAACAGTTACAGTGTTCCCTCATCAGACAGAAGGTCGGGTTCGATCCCCGACCGCGTCATACCAAAAGACGTTAAAATATGGTACTTGTTGGTCCCTGCCTGGCGCTCAGCATTAATGGGTACAACAAGGACTGGTCGGCTCAGAGTCAGTATAATGTGTCTGAGTGGGGTATTCATGCTTCACTGCGGCATGGTATCTCAGTGGGCTAGCACTATAAAACCAGCTTTAGTCTGGGCTAGTACAAGCAGCCGCACCTACACATACACACGCATGCACGTCGTCATATGAGCGAAATATTCTCAAGCACAACGTTAAACCCAATCTCACCTCACCTCACCTCATCAGACAGAAGACCCAGGTTTGATTCCCACATGGGTACAATGTGTGAAGCCCATTTCTGGTGTCCCCTGCATTGATAGTGGTGGAAGATTGCTAGAACTGGTGTAAAAGACAACTCACTCAGAGTATCCTGACAGCATGGATCAGCCCTGCTATTATCAATCATTAATTTGTCTGGTCTAGACTTGATTAAAAACAGGTCCCTCTCATGTAGCTGGATTGTTGCTGAATGTGTCATTAAAGAACAAACAATAGACGTATTTTGATCACCCCATAATAAATCCCAACAATCAAACCAAGTGAAGTAGTCAAAGGGCCACTGTCTCAGTGTTACAAGGGACGGTGGTGTAGCCTAGTGGTTAAAGCATACTCTCATCATGCTGAAGACCTGGGTTCAATTCCCAAATGGGTACAATGTATGAACCCCATTTCTGGTGTCCCCTGACGTGATATTGCTGGAATATTGCTAAAAGCAGCATAAAACTAAACTAAACTCACTGTCACCCATACCAATAGAGTCCATCTATGTTACATGAATATCAGGTATGTTTATGTAGTCCCCATTTGATTAAACCTGTCCAGATAAACTGGTTCAGCACAGCGCTGTGTCGTTTCCCTGCAGTGGTCTAATTACCTGAATCACAAGAAGTGCAGGTAACAGTAAACGGAGAAGGCTAGGTAAACATGCAGCTTGCCTCAGCCTCTGCTTGACCCTCTACCTGTGCACACCTTGCATGTGGTGACATAAAGGTGCACACCTCATTCACATGCTGATGACAAGGAGACGAATGTTCTTGAAAGCTTTCTGGAATTTGAAAAAATGCTTTTTTTGTTCAGTGATCTTACTCTTACAAAACTAGATGCTTTTCCATCACGCATAATCATATATATCTGTATATATTAATTTCTTCTCTTTCTTTCCCCATTTTCTGTTTTCTGATGTGTGATGCTTTCTAAATGGTTCCATAGTAAATTCCTATCAAGTTGTATAAGATCTACATGTTATGGCATGACTTGAAGTACAAGATTATTGCGTGATCATTATATACTGAAATACTAAATCTAAATTTGTTTTGGGCCATTACTCCAAGATGTAAAGTTTACATAATATGTCCGCTCTGTGTTACCAAAAATATTCTGTAAAACATCTTAACAAAAACATTATCCAAGTTCAGAATACTTTCAATCAGCATTAATATTTTGTAATTCATTCATTTCATTCAGAAAAGAAAGCAAGTAAATGTTTTATGTGGAAATGAGGCTACTTTAAAATAGGCAAACACCAAATATTGCTTTGAATTTGAGATTAAACTGGAAATACAGATATCTAAACTTTCAGGACTTTTCACATAGATAATCTTGATCAAGACTGATGAAAAATTGGAACTATATATACATGTATAAGATAGGAGTGAGTTTCAATGAGGACATTATTGAGAAGGATGTATGACAAATCGAGGAAGTACTCATAATCCTATTTATAGGAAAGTTCTCGTGCATGTTAATATATACAAACAGACAGTAACTTGTCATTTTTATGAATTCCCAAATATCACACAGGCTTTTTTCATGTTTCTAAAACATTTTGATTGATCATCACATATTTAGCTGAAAAATAAAATGCTACAGTTAAACACTGTAATTACTGTAACATCCTTTTCACACTTTAAGTAAATATGTGCCCACAATAGAATGTTTGAATTATTTCAAAGAATTTATTTGACCAGCTGTGCAGAACTTGGAAACATTGCAAATCCTTGAGAAGTTCAAAGTTAAGTTTTCAAATGTCCTGTAGCAGCGTAGCAGTACGCTGGCCACACGAGTAGTTGTAAGTGTTTCCGCTGTTGCGAGTCACTTCCCTGTTGTTGTCAGACGACAGCGTCCATGTCAGGGGTAAGTCACTGTCCCATCATCATCACTACATTCTCGTCACGATATGGCTGAGATATTGCCGATGTGATGTTAAATATTAACTCACTCAATCACTACATTCAGTCGGGGTCGAGAATAACATCATAATAGAACTGTTGATGGACTTAGATGTTAACTCAGTCAGCTGAGTGGTTATATGTGACTGTAACTATTTCATATTCTTACTTATCCTGTGGGGCAGCCTAGTGGTTAAAGCATTCACTCATCATGCTGAAGACCCGGGTTCAATTCCCCACATGGGTGCAATGTGTGAAGCCCATTTCTGGTGTCCCTGACGTGATATTGCAGGAATATTGCTAAACGCATTGTAAGACCATACTCACTCACTACTTATCCTGGGACTGATTACAACTGTGTTTTCATATAATTTACTGAGTAAAATGGGAACTCAGATTAAATTATATATATGTGATTTAACGTTGAAGAGGTGCCTAGAATTTGAAACAGGTTAAAAGGTCAGGCTTGTTTTCATTACATCATTACTTAAGTAGCTACTTGACCTTTTCTCCTAAGGGTGACATGTATTTCATTCTGAAAAAAAAAAATGTTTGCATCCTTCATTCGAAGCAACATGCTCGAACCTGTTTTCAAATGGCTTTCTCAATCACTGTCACCAAATGACTCCAGAACAGTTTTTCGTGGTTAGTGTCCAAGTATTTGTTTCTGTGAATACATTCCTTATTCTCTGTGCGTAAGTGTATGAGAAGTGTATGGACCTTTCTGTCCATTCAAGATTGTGTGTTCAAGAATGACCTGGAACATCTTAACCCTGGGTGTTTGTTTGGCGAAGTTTTGAGAGTGGAGTGTTCACCTCAGGGAAACTCAACTCATTTTACTTATCTGTTGACATTTTGCTGTTTGCTTCAGCTTTCACTTTAGTTGCCACACAAAGTCATGTGACTATGTGGATTATATCCATACAGGTTATTGCTGTGTTAATGTGGTGTCCAATATCTCATGTGGACACTGGGTGGAGGGGTAGTCAAGTGGTTAAAGCATTTTCTCGTCATGCCGAAGACCCGGGTTCGATTCCCCACATGGATGCAATGTGTGAAGCCCATTTCTGGTGTCCTCCGCCGTGATATTGCTGGAATATTGCTAAAATCGGTGTAAAACTAAACTCAGTGTATTAATGTGGTTTATTACCTACAAGGGTGAAAATATCGGGGGTTCATATTTTTCATATGATGCCCTAGGGCAAAATATCACTTTGCCATGGTGATGTGACACCATGAACAATGCTATGACGTCATGTTTCTTCTATGACGTTGCGTTCTACATGCGGCGACGGCGGGTAGCCTATGTTTGAAAGTAGATTTGGGTTTATTTTCCTCAATTTGACGACTTCGTTAATAGACAGAATATTATGTTCGTGGCCATATCATACTATGTTTACGACACTCGTGCCTAAATATCGGTATATCACTCGCTCTCGCTTCGGGAAATACCAACATTTAGGCACGCATGTAGTAAACATAGTATGGTATGGGCCCTCATATAATATCCTCTCTGTCCTATACCTCATGTGGACACGGAGTGGAGGGGTAGTCTAGTTGTTAAAATGTTCACTTATCACGCCATGTCCCCTACTGTGATATTGCTGGAATATTGGTAAAAGTGGTGTCATGTAGATACTGTATGGAGTGCTGGTCAAAGATGCGTGTTGACTTGTGGATTTGATGGTTACAATGGATGGGAGGTCAGTTGCAAATCGCCAATGTAAACTGCAATGATCTTTAGTATCAATCCATCAGATATTCACCCTGTAAACCAGAGGTTGACAGCAAATGCAGGTACCAATAAAGTATATTAACTAACTAGAAATGCTAGACTATACATTCATCATCAGATACTGTTTAACATTAATGCCCCTTCCCATTAGTAGTAATTAAGCCAGCATAGAGAAAACGTCTTGCCGACTCTCTCCAAATGGTGGTTGTCCTATGCCATATTGACAGTCCTTGTTTGGGGTATACGGTATAACGTCTGCCAGCTGCCTGCTATGTTTACACGACGCTAATAGCAGAGCATGTAACACCGAGCTGACAAGACAACGTGTTATATCAAATACAGGCAGGCCATGAGATGTGCTCCCACTCCTTGTGTATGGATTGTCCTTAAGTCACCTGCTGCCGATCCTGGCCGCCTCTGACCACAGCAAGCTTTTATCAGTTTCCTCCTTATGTGTAAGCTTACAGCAGGAACTATACTAAGTCATAAGCATTGTACTTCCCATCACAGCTTGGGCACACAGGTAATGTCACCCAGACCCTCACAACACCAAGTATTTGTCTTCATGTCTTTCTAGGCCTTCCTTATACTTTGAGCCATGTGTGGGCGTTAAACACAGATTGTAGGTTGTTTTTGTGTTCCTTTTGAATGCATGTGTTATCAGCAGTTATGGTTATAGGTTAAAAGTTAAGGTTGCTTTTATGGGAGCTTGGATATGGTCTATATCTATCATATCTGGAGCATCAGTTGATATATCACCTGAAATGGTGACTTGAACTGTGATTGTTCACATCAGTCTGGAAACTCTGTACATCATGGTGTTGGTGCGGACCTCGTGGTGTTGATGTGTAAATGTTTTTAAAAGGATATGTTTGTTTTCAGGTTTGAAGAAGGTCTCTGATGATATGAAGACCCACAAGAACCCTGCCCTGAGACAGGGCCCCGCCCCATTCAAGGCTGTAGGTCCTCCTAAGCCAGCACCCAAGCCCGAGGCCAAGGTCGCCCCTGCAGCTGTATCCAGGCCTCCTCTCACCCAACTCCAGGACAAGAAGTGGGTCGTTGTGAGTACTGTTAGATATATATCACTCATTACCACAAACAACCCCCTCGGGGAATCTCAGTACAGGTCCTTCATACCCGTCTCCAGGACAAGAAGTGGGTCGTTGTGAGTAATGTTAGATATATATCACTCATTACCACAAACAAACCCCTCTGGGAATCTCAGTACAGGTCCTTCATACCCAACTCCAGGACAAGAAGTGGGTCGTTGTGAGTACTGTTAGATCACTCATTACCAGAAACAATCCCCTTGGGGAATCTCAGTACAGGTCCTTCATACCCGTCTCCAGGACAAGAAGTGGGTCATTGTGAGTACTGTTAGATATATATCACTCATTACCACAAACAAACCCCTCTGGGAATCTCAGTACAGGTCCTTCGTACCCGACTCCAGGACAAGAAGTGGGTCATTGTGAGTACTGTTAGATATATATCACTCATTACCACAAACAAACCCCTCTGGGAATCTCAGTACAGGTCCTTCATACCCGACTCCAGGACAAGAAGTGGGTCATTGTGAGTACTGTTAGATATATATCACTCATTACCACAGACAACCCCCTTGGGGAATCTCAGTACAGGTCCTCCATACCCTACTCCAGGACAAGAAGTGGGTCATTATCCCCCGCCGCTTGTTTAGCCAGTTATCAAGAGAGGTTGATTAGTCATGTTTTTGTTGACATTTAACTTCATCTTAAACTTTCATTACTTTATAAGTTTGATTTGATAATTTGCGGCTGGGGATTATGTCACCTTAGTGACAATGCTTGTTGTATTTGTTTCTCATGTATCACTTGCTTGACAACGACATTTGAATCTATGTCGAAACATCGCCCTTCACAGAATAAAAGAAGTTGTGTATGCATAAAAATTGTCATCATTCTTCAACTCAACTTCTAAAATGCCCATCAAAGAAGTATTGCCAAGTGTGGCTGTAAACTACCACTACACTTGACATGATCTTGTATGAGATTTCAGGGTAGCTGAGGTATTGCATTTAGTTACATTATATATTTACTGACATGCTGTAATTGTCAATAATTACTTTTCAATGCTTCACTGTGCTCCAGGGGTGCTGTTGCCTAAGGTTTCGTAATTATCTGTGCACAATTGTACCCCTTGGACATGCTGGAGACCTAAGGAGCATTTGTTCGATTCTGAGTTTGCTCCAATCATATTTCTAGGTTTGTCTGCACCATACCCAAGCTCATGGGTTTTTACGAAAGTTGTTAACATCTACTGAACTCATCCCTTCAGGCATCTCAACATCAAGCTGACATGTCATGGCATGCAATGGAGATCTGTCCAAAGTACCTTTAAACCAAACTAACTCACTCAAAGCTGCATGAAGCACACTATGTGAAGGTGCTGAGGTAGAGGTGCCTCAGACTAGACAGGGATATGATCTCAATCATCAGCACCAACATAGATATACTAAACATATTCCCAGCATTAGCCAGTATGGAGGAGACCATTGTCATAATAGAAGAATACTTCCACCTGACTAAAGGACATTTCTATCCTGGGGTAGACTTCTCCTGGGGCAGACTACTCCAGGGGCAGACTACTCCTGCGGTAGACTTTTCCAGGGGCAGACTACTCCTGGGGTAGACTTTTCCAGGGGCAGACTACTCCTGGGGTAAACTTCTCCAGGGGTAGACTACTCCTGGGGTAGAACTTCTCCAGGGGCAGATTACTCCTGGGGTAGACTACTCCTGGGGCAGACTACTCCAGGGGCAGACCTTTCATGGGGCAGACTACTCCTGTAAGTTGTTTTACTGTCCATAACTGACTGTATCTGAACCCATGTCCGTGTATTTCAGGAATACCACAACAACAACAAGGACATCGTCATTGACAATACGCAGTCCAAGCAGGTGGTGTACATCTACAAATGTGTTGGCAGCACCATCAGTGTCAAGGGCAAGGTCAACTCCATCTTGCTTGGTGAGTAGCACTGGTCATATAACACATAATCAGTAAATTTACACCTGGTTTTTTTTCTTTCTAAAACTGACGTTTCTTCCTGATTGGTTGATATATAACAAGGAACCTAGTAATGTATCTCCTGATTGACAATCCAACAAGTGACTGCTGGCATCAGAGTCTGTTCAGTGAATGTTATATAACAGTTTGTTCTGACATATCTGTTTCAGATGGCTGCAAGAAGAGTGCTGTGGTGTTTGATGACGTTGTGTCTTCCATTGAATTTATCAACTGTCAAAGCGTTCAGGGTCAGGTGCGTCATGTCTTATTGATATCTTATGTGCAGAGTTTTATCCCTTAGCTTGGCCAGGACACCATTTTATTAAATCAGACATCCGCGAATTATCATTGCTGTCTTGTCAGTGCTTGTGAGGTTCTCAAGAGGTTCACATCTATGACCTGTCCACTGACCTGTAGGGGAGCTTTGTTCACACCTATGACCTGTCCACTGACCAGTAGGGGAGCTGTGTTCACACCTATGACCTGTGCACTGACCTGTAGGGGAGCTGTGTTCACACCTATGACCTGTCCACTGACCAGTAGGGGAGCTGTGTTCACACCTATGACCTGTCCTGTGACCTGTAGGAGAGCTGTGTTCACACGTATGACCTGTCCTGTGACCTGTAGGGGAGCTGTGTTCACATCTATGACCTGTCCTGTGACCTGTAGGGGAGCTGTGTTCACACGTATGACCTGTCCTGTGACCTGTAAGGGAGCTGTGTTCACACCTATGACCTGTAGGGAAGCTGTGTTCACACCTATGACCTGTCCTGTGACCTGTAGGGGAGCTGTGTTCACACGTATGACCTGTCCTGTGACCTGTAGGGGAGCTGTGTTCACATCTATGACCTGTCCTGTGACCTGTAGGGGAGCTGTGTTCACACCTATGACCTGTCCTGTGACCTGTAGGGGAGCTGTGTTCACACCTATGACCTGTCCGCTGACCTGTAGGGGATCTGTGTTCACACCTATGACCTGTCCACTGACCAGTAGGGGAGCTGTGTTCACATCTATCAACTGTCCTGTGACCTATAGGGGAGCTGTGTTCACATCTATGACCTGTCCACTGACCAGTAGGGAGCTGTGTTCACATCTATGACCTGTGCACTGACCAGTAGGGGAGCTGTGTTCACACCTATGACCTGTGCACTGACCAGTAGGGGAGCTTGTGTTCACACCTATGACCTGTCCACTGACCAGTAGGGGAGCTGTGTTCACACCTATGACCTGTCCACTGATCAGGAGGGGAGCTGTGTTCACATCTATGACCTGTCCACTGACCTGTAGGGGAGCTTGTGTTCACACCTATGACCTGTCCTGTGACCTGTAGGGGAGCTGTGTTCACACCTATGACCTGTCCACTGATCAGGAGGGGAGCTGTGTTCACATCTATGACCTGTCCACTGACCTGTAGGGGAGCTTGTGTTCACACCTATGACCTGTCCTGTGACCTGTAGGGGAGCTGTGTTCACACCTATGACCTGTCCTGTGACCTGTAGGGGAGTTGTGTTCACACCTATGACCTGTCTGCTGACCTGTAGGGGAGCTGTGTTTACATTTATGACCTGTCCACTGACCAGTAGGGGAGCTTGTGTTCACACATATGACCTGTCCACTGACCAGTAGGGGAGCTTGTGTTCACACCTATGACCTGTCCACTGACCAGTAGGGGAGCTTGTGTTCACACCTATGACACTGACATTGGGGATCTATCCTACATGGCAGGTAACTGAAATATTGCAACTCAAGATTGGGATCCATCAATGTTCCACGGTGGATTAGATCCAAGTGTTCACCCAGTGTTGTGTTGATAATCTCTACTGTTAATTCCTCTTCAGCACAATTCTCCATTGTCCACTAACCTCTGTCTTATCGTCTCAATATTATCCACATAGATGATATTCAATAAACCACAGTGAAATACAGATTATCTGCCCTTCAGCAAGTGAATCAGTGCTGTCAAAGTTCCCACAACAATCTTTCGGTAGTGTGTTTTCAATGTCCTAAATAGATAAGACTACCCTTACAACTGATCTGTTTGAAATAAACTGGCCTCTAGTGTTTGATGTGCTTTACATGTTCCAAGTTTATCCTCCTGCAACAGACAATCAGATGAAAATGCCTATGACATCTGTGATCATCATGATGAATTACTACTGTTGGTTTCAGGACATCTGTGATCATCGTGATGAATTACCACTGTTGGTTTCAGGACATCTGTGATCATCATGATGAATTACTACTGTTGGTTTCAGGACATCTGTGATCATCGTGATGAATTGCTACTGTTGGTTTCAGGACATCTGTGATCATTGTGATGAATTGCCACTGTTGGTTTCAGGACATCTGTGATCATCGTGATGAATTACTACTGTTGGTTTCAGGACATCTGTGATCATCTTGATGAATTGCCACTGTTGGTTTCAGGACATCTGTGATCATCGTGATGAATTACTACTGTTGGTTTCAGGACATCTGTGATCATCGTGATGAATTGCCACTGTTGGTTTCAGGACATCTGTGATCATCGTGATGAATTGCCACTGTTGGTTTCAGGACATCTGTGATCATCGTGATGAATTGCCACTGTTGGTTTCAGGACATCTGTGATCATCGTGATGAATTGCCACTGTTGGTTTCAGGTGACTGGAAAAGTGAACACAGTTATTATCGACAAGACAGATGGCTGCATGATGTACCTTAGCAAAGAGTCCATTGAAGCTGAGATTGTCACAGCCAAATCCTCCGAACTCAACATCTTGGTTCCTCTAGCTGATGGAGAATATGTAAGTGCAGAAACTGAGATTCAAGTTGTTGTTTTAATAGTTTGTTGGCCAACCAGTCGAACACTGTAAGTTGGCTCCTTGCTGCATGTTTATAGCACTTTGAGGAGGGCACCCTGGAACACCAACTGTCCTTTGTCTCTAGCAGATTGTGTGTCGTAACTGACTAGATGAATCGATGCGCATAACGTCAGTCTCAGGGTGGTCTCTGCCCAATATTAAGAGGCATCCAACATCCAAGCTGGTCTTAAGAGGCTGCTAATTTCTGTTTAAGTGGTCAGACTTTGTGACTCGACCTGTGAAGATCTGGGTTAAAATTGATCTTCAGTAACCCATGCTTGTCATAAGAGGCGACTAACGGGATTGGGTGGTCAGGTTCTCTGATGTGGTTCATGTCAATTGCCTAGATCAATGCTCATGGTGTTGATCACTGGATTGTCTGGTCCAGACTTGATTATTTACAGGACGCTGCCATATAGCTGGAATATTGCTGAGTGTGGCGTAAAACTAACCTTAATCAATGAATATCCCATGTCATTGTGTCCCCAATGGATTGTTTCATTTGTTTGTTCGATAAATCAGACTCTGATATGTTCATAGACCACAAAGATATAGATGGAATATTTTCTGAGTTTAAACAACGTGACTTGCTCACTGTCCATGCCTCCTGCAGATAGAGATATTTTAATATGTTACTCATTCAGGTGCTCTCATTTCCATGTGCTAATACTGGAGATACAGATGACATCACTATGTGATCCCAGTGCTCCCACTTCCTGGTTAATTGAAACTGACTAATATAATCTCCCAGAATACCAAACTGAAACAGAAAATACATGGTTTCATTGTTATATTTCCTGTGTGGAAAGTCCTGTAAATAACATACATATACACTGTTCAAAATGAGAGTGAAGTGGTTTTGAAGTTGATGTTGAAAGATACCAATCATAATGGTCCCAAGATTCAAGTGGTACTACCATGTTAAAGATACCAGTCAGAATGATAGCTAGATTCAAGTAGTGCAGCCACATGTCAAGGGCCTTGAGATACAGTGTCTAACTGTAGAGTATATCAATCCCAGATTGCTGAATGTTTGTACTGGTTTTGGCTTACCACCAAATGGTGTCACTTGCTCAAAGTGATTTTAGGTGGCACTTCTTTGACCAGTGGGAACCAGTAGAAAAATAATAGTTTGGGTTTATTTTTTTTTCAGAGTACTTGTTTTGGTACAGATAGTGGTACTTTTATCAGTCAAGAGTATGGTTGACTTAAGGATTTCAGTTCAGGTTCTGACCCATGAAGATCCTAGTCAGAATTGATCTTCACTAACCCATGCTTATCGCAAGAGGCCACTAACGGGATATAGTGGTCAGGCTCGCAGACTTGGTTGACACATGTCATTGTATCCCAATTTTGTAGATTGATGCTCATGCTGTTGATCACTGGATTGTCTGGTGCAGACTCCATGTTTTACAGACAGCCGCCATATAGCTGGAATATTGCTGAGTGCGGCATAAACCTAAACTCACTCACTCACTACCTTTCACTAGCACCAGGACCAAAATGTTGATTGAAACAATAAAATTTAAATGCAATGGTCAACCTTGACTTTGCTCTTCAACTCACTTTTAACCTAAGTAAACATCTCAGTAATTCTTCCCTTTTGGGGCTTACATCAAGTATGGAACAGTAAACTAACTTATATCTGTTATAACCCATAGTTTGTTATATGCATTAAAGTAAGATATACAGCAAGTGGACGGGACAACATAGTATGTTATGTAACAGTTTTGTGTAAGCATGTTTGTTATAACCATAGTTTACTCTAGTTGTAATGTTGCCATGACTATATATCACTAATATTGCCATAACTATATATCACTGATATTGCCATGACTATATATCACTAATATTGCCATAACTATATATTACTGATATTGCCATGACTATATATCACTGATATTGCCATGACTATATATCACTAATATTGCCATAACTATATATCACTGATATTGCCATGACTATATATCACTAATATTGCCATAACTATATATCACTGATATTGCCATGACTATATATCACTAATATTGCCATAACTATATATACTGATATTACTGATATTGCCATGACTATATATCACTAATATTGCCATAACTATATATCACTAATATTGCCATAACTATATGTCACTAATATTGCCATAACTATATATTACTGATATTGCCATGACTATATATCACTAATATTGCCATAACTATATGTCACTGATATTGCCATGACTATATATCACTAATATTGCCATAACTATATATTACTGATATTGCCATGACTATATATCACTAATATTGCCATAACTATATATTACTGATATTGCCATGACTATATATCACTAATATTGCCATAACTATATATTACTGATATTGCCATGACTATATATCACTAATATTGCCATAACTATATGTCACTGATATTGCCATGACTATATATCACTAATATTGCCAGGATTCTGTGCACTCACTCACCAACTGCATACCTTTTTGTGTTGCAGAAAGAATTTGCTCTCCCAGAACAGTTCAAGTCAACATGGAACGGGTCCAAGTTTGTCACGGTTGCGACTGATAGTATTTGAAGCAGGATTGGTGCTGAGAAAATGTCATGCTGTCAGCTTCATGCTATGTGCTGCCTGAACAAACTTCAACCACAATATTCCTTCAATCTTAACATCTTTGTACAAACCAACTTTTCTAACATTGTGCACTATTTTATGGAATCAGCAGCATTTTATAAACCTTATGATTAATCCACAAATTCATAAGCTGTCAAATGTAAGCCTAATACTGCAATCATTATTATTTTCTGTCTGAAGAAAAATATATTTTTCATGTTTTATTCTTTTTTTAAAAAAAGCTTTCTTGTACATTACACGAAGATGATGACTACATTATAAGACTGAGACCAAATGCTGTAGTATGCTTCAGCTAAATGCCTTGTATTAAGTACCGGTAGATGCAACATGGGGGTACCACAAGTCCTCAATGCCAAATGGGATCTCTGACATGTTACCAAATCGGCAGCAACCACTGTTCTACATCACACATATCCTAAGAGGGAATGGAAGGTTTACGGGAATGAAATTGACTGTATGTAACATGATAGAAACCATTGCCTTTGAAAGGTTGAGTGAATGATCGAGGAAGACCTGTGTTTGTTGTGTATTTGTTATGTATCCCATAAGAAGTGGACCATCAATCGAAGTGCTGTTTTGTGGTTCAAAAGACCCAGGAATATTAGAGCCCAATTACCACCTGCCACCTTGTCAGTAGGAAGTAGATAGTTTTAGAATAAGAATTATATGAGAGTTGATCAGGTTGCTGGATTCGTATTTAATCCGAATTGACATCATGTCAGAAATTTTAGAAATAGCTTCAGCCTTCCATAATCAATAAACCTTTTGGGCATTAAGCAATGGCGGCAATCAGGGGTATTGGAGGCCTTCCTGTCCAACATCTGCTCAATGAGCCTGTGTTGTAAGACAATTTATGCAAACTTAAGGAATGTTGCTTGAGATATAGTTGCCTGTATCTGTGTCCGGTGTAGGGGACTTGTGGGGCTCCTGACCTGTCTTTCATGTAAGTACATCAGTACGGTTACTCTCACGTGAGCTACACCACTAGCGGAGGCGAAGGAAACCAACATATAAGCTTGAACTTTGCTGTCCGGAACATTTTGTTGATTATATTTATGTATTGATAATTGGTAAAATAATGTGAAATAAATAGACTACCAAGGTGCTGTTTCAATAGATTTGTGTTATTTTCTTGCCCTGTCTTGGTCAGCTAAGTGGGGACCAAGATTCCATTACTCACCAGGGTTCAAATGGTGAAACCCATTCTTCATAATATTGCTGAAAGTTCTTTGTCAGTGTTCCTCTCCACAGAGAGGCTTACCTTATATAAAGATTGGGTGCCATCATGGCTGCTGACGTGTGATGTGGGAAGAGAGCTACTCTGGTTTGTGTGAGGATATATTCCACCGTAACATGGCCGTGGCTTCATCCTAGGCACAGTGTAAGAATACCTTATATTGCCATCTTTAAAGCTATCCCCATATATATGTACAGAACCATTCAATTTATATTCCCCATCTGTAAAGCAGTCCAGAATGAAGACCTCGTCAGCACAAACACAATCCAAAAATTGGTATTTTAAGTTTTCGTATCATCATTTTATTAACCTTTTTAAACATTTCCAAACAAATTTAGAAATCAAATCATTTTGTCAAAATCTATGCATTTCTTTGCTGGACGGACACTATTTTCACGGAAGTAAGTTCTCATATACCAAACCGAAGGCCTTCGACCGCAACATGTACCGTTCTGTGGTAAGAGCGTACTGTTTAACCCCTAGTCCACAGTGTGACTGAACTTAGCAGTGTCATGGTCAGCTGACACCAGAAATGGTCTTCACACATTGTACCTATGGAATTAAACCAGGGTCTTCAGTGTGATGACCGAATGCTTGAGCCACTAGGCTACCCCAAAGAAAGAAGGATTTCATTGAATACTCATCAGAAATATAAAGAGATAAACAGTAGACATTATCAACCTGGATCTCCAACAATGAGACCAGGGTAAATATTTAGAATTTATCTTCTGTGGAACATTTATGGAGCTCAAAAATGTGTGGCTATAGTTCAGATATCTGCTATGCAGGATGGTCAAGCATGGTCTGTGTGACAGGTCATAGAAGTGGACACAAACACATGGTGTAGAAAAAAATTATGTAGCTCATTTATTTATGTAAACCCATTCACTCACCAATATCTTTCACATGCATAACACTTCTGTTATGTTCTAAATAATGAATTATTGTGTTTACTCCCCACCCAACCAGTTACGTGTCACTTATCAACTATATGCTGCTGTTAATGTCAATCTACACCGAAACGTCACTCTATGCAATAAACAAGAGGTTGCCATCCATAAGCTATATTATTATTACTGGACAGTAGGGTTATAAACCATCATGGAGGATCAAGTTACATACAAATTTATCAAGTAAGGATGAAGAAGATACACTTTCAACATCATGGTTGTAAAATACAACACGGGCATCATTTGTTGACAAAAGGTTTATTCTCCATGTTTTCATCTACAGTAACAATTGGGTTTATCACAGAAAGAGCAATCATGAGCAGTCATTTAGAACTACAAGGCACCAGACGCTATGTTGGCAAAGAAGTTTCGTGGATAACAGCAATATATATACAAAGCAATATGTACGTACCAAACTTAACTAAAACAAGTTACAACCAACTAGACTAAACACAACAGTTATACGGCCATGAGATGTCTGGATATTAATATACAAAACATTGTCAGCTGTCCACAAGAAATAATGTCATTCCAAAAATTGTTCACAAAATTGAACAAAATCAAGAAATGCAATGAAACTGCTGGTTCAGTCAAATTCTAAGTCTACCCGTTAAATAAAACCAGCTTAATTATCTTAAAATTTCTTGGGAATCAAGATTAATGAAATTTTACACTAAACTGCCAAAGGCAGTAATTATGGGTCGCTGTTATAACAATTAGTAATAATAATAAATACAAAATGTCATGTTTACACCTTCCTGTCAATGACTTTGTGATATGTCGGTGTGTATTATTTCATCCAATGACCTCAAGTCAAACCACATCACAGAATAAAAGTATAGTGCATAACATGTAAAGGTGGGATATATAGTGACACAACAATGTCTTATCACAGTTAGCTCTAAATAAGTCGGATGGCACAACCAGATGTGAGCAAAAGTCTTCAAAATCACACCCTACATCTTACAATGGATACAATGACCATATAATTTTCTTTTGATGGATCAGTTTTTCTGCTAAAGGTGGAAAAATATCATCAGTGTCAACATTTGGATCTTGATTTTCAAACTCCGAAATGTTGAAAAGTCTCTAAAGATCAAGGGAGATAATTTCAGCAAAGTCTGTGAATCAAGGACAAGGGACAGAACTCTTGATATTTTCCCTACTCCATCAGCTTGACCAATCTGTGTGGTGAAATATGAATGTCAACTGACCATTTGACCAGCATTACTTTTAACAAATAAATGATGAAAATTGAAAAGAAATACATTTTGTTATGAAAACAGGGTAGAATGTTCTGTGATCCAACTAATACAAAAATAGCCTTACAATTCCTTTTTCATAGTGTTCCTCTCTCTTACAGGTGCCCACATACAACAGGCACATAACCAGTTCTGTAGGTCTTGAATAAATACTAGTCTGAGCAATGGGCAAACTTCAGAAATCTTGAATACTTGGGAATTAACATCATGACACATCAAATTTCACCCAGTAGGCTAAATACTTGTCATCACTGCCTTATAACATCAAAATATGAAAAGTAAGACACAGTTATAAACAATGAATAGGTTCAGCCATTCACCCTGCAAGAAATAAAAACACTACATATCAATCCCGTCCATAACTTTCACTCACACAACCTCAAGCAACAACACATAACAAAGTTGTAATTAGGATTCTGTCAAGAGTTGAACAAAATGATAATAATGAGATATATATCTAACAAGTGCATGTTCAACACCATGCATATAACCAGGGATAATCTACAGCGTCTTATAGTCTCCCTGATATAACACTAGCCTTGGGAATGAATGACTACACTAACACGTAATGTTTAAATATATAAATATAACTTTATATAGCATATCTGAAAACACATTTACACACAATTTCTCTTGGAAAATTAATTTGTAATTCTGAACTGAACAGTTTTTATAAAAATATAACTTTCCAATAAATTGTTGAAGACTCAATCTTTCAAAGGAGAAAAGATGTCAATAAAGTTTTTAAATTTAAACAATCAAGAAATAAGAAATATTTATATTGAGGACGGGTACTGGAGTGGGTGGGTCAGGGTTCTCTCATGCCCTAATGAAGTAAAAATAATACCCTAATGGTTATCACAATATTTTGGGATGAACTTTGCCATGTCCTTGTAAATTTGTCTCATGACCCAGTCAGAAAAGGCAAAAGAACTTTATGGTCTGTTAAATTACAAAATGTCCATTCTTTTCATGACCCTTCCCAAATATATGCATCGGCTTTGTCACCCTCCCCAGAGACAGTCAAATTTCTAGTGACCCTCCCCTAATTCCAGAGCTGACCAAGCCTTTTCACCCCATTTTCAGATACATGTATACATTTGAACTAAAATACACCCTACTTTTTGATTTAGCCACAGAAGGAGAAAACAGACTTGGAAATGAGACATAAATGTATTTCTTTGAATTAAATAACCAATTTTAATTTGAGTATGGGTCAAGATTTTTCATCTACAGATCACATGTACAAAGCCTCAGTATCTGGCACTGTGACTTATTTCACTATATAACATATATAGCTGTATGTCCATATCCTGATGTCGTTTTTTTCTCTCACATCTTTAACACTTTTGGATATGAGAAATACAATAAAAATGCTTCAAAATGCTCAAAAATAAAAAAAATTGTAAGCCAGACAAAAGCACTAGAAGCAGAAAGCTTACTGATCAAGCATACCCATAAGCCTATAATGTGCCCGAGGACACTTCCAGACAGGACAAAAATATCAACAGGGTAACATGCTCATAAACTATAGTCACACTATGCTCCATTACCCACTTATAGAAAGGTCCAGAGAATGGTATTTGTCGGGTAACATTATTTCAACATCATTATTGTGATCACTGACAAATACACTTATGTACAGAATAAACTTTGCATTAGCAGATGAAGAGGTGTTTCAATTCAAATTTGCTAGTCAGCCAAATTTTATTTTATGTCACTAGTGAAACTTTGTTACCCCTCATAGATATACCAGTCATTATGATAATTTGATAGATTATAATAATTTTAAAATTTCACAATATAATGCAAATTACCATGTTTTGTAGGGACGAAAAAAATCTGTCCCTACCTACCCTAATTTTGGATTGGCTGAAATATTAAACATACTAGTACATAGTTCTTGGTTTGGTCTAAGCACCAGAATAACCAACAAGCTTGAAGCATATCAGCGTTATGAAGATGGAGTGGTTTGATTCAAGGACAGGTATCTATTAATCTCATCTTGTGTCTTCTGAGGAATGTCATTGCCTGGCCTCAAGGTCAAATACTTGACAGTGGTGTTGCGCTTGAGGAGGTCAATGAGGGCACGACCTCCTGCCTCCTCGATTCCTGCATTGGCCACCTCCAGGGTTGACAGTGATGTGTTATTCTTCAGACCCTCAACAAGTATACGAACACCCTCATCACCGATCTTGTTGTTCTGTATCGTCAAGGTCTTCAGGTTCTTGTTCTTCGTTAAAGCTGTTGCCAGTTTGGACCAGCCAGGATTGGTGATGTCTGGGCAGCTGCTGAGACTCAATGTGTGAAGGTCAAGGTTACTCTCAAGAAGCAGCGCCACGTCAACCATTCCATCATCGGTGACGCTAGTCTCGCTGAGGTCTAGTTCCTGCAGCTGACAGAAGCGGCCCTTAATGGACATGACGGGAACTCCCCCCATCCGCTCCGACTCTCTCTTCTTGTACTCCTGGGCCTCAAATTCTATGTCCAACAGTCCATCCACCAGAGTCTGCAGACCCTCGTTGCCTATGGGGTTACCTTGTAACCTGCAACAATGTAAACAGTCATTACTATATATATTTTGTGGGTGTATACAAAGATGCAGAATCTGTAAACTAGTGTCAACACTAAACACAACTTTGTTTGTTCATTGTCCAATCACCTTCAGTGATGGTCAGTCAACAGATTTCCAAAGCACTTGTACGTTTAATGCACATGTACAAGGAAACCTGTGAAGATCCGGGTTAGAACTGGTCCCCAGCAACCTATGCTTGTCGTAAGAGGCGACTAATGTGACCATCCAGGTCAGACTTGCTGACTTGGTCGACACATGTCATCGCATCCCAGTTGTGTAGATCGATGCTCATGTTGTTGACCACTGGATTGTCCGGTCCAGACTCGATTATTTACAAACCACCTCCATATAGCTTGAATATTGCTAAGTGTGGCATTAAACAACAAACAAATAAACAAACAAAAATGATGTACAAGGAATTATTGCTGCCATAAAGCAACTGTCAGCACTTACAGCAACATGTCAATGGAGGGTTTGATTTTGAGGATCTCCACAAGAGGCACTACACTTCGGGGTCCCAGAATGTTGTTGTTGAGGTTCAAGATCTGAAATCAAATCACATCAGCTTTATTTTAACACTTCCCTGATACCATTGTCCTCCATTATAAGCCAGTGTTACTGACAATTGGAAACAATGTCATTGAAATCTTGTCCTTCACACTAAAAGCAGCTCTTGAGGCAGGCAGATCTCTGCTCAACTTCCCACAATGGCACAATCGGGATTATCTCAACATTTTGACACATTTCAATTATCCAGGGCAGTATGTAAATATCATGATGTACCTGTGACTAATCAATCAATTCCTAACCAGATTTGCTCTTGCAATAGTTTTGCATTCATTGTAGAGACATTCGGAACTTTGCTACAACATTGAAGCTCAATCTACGCTATAATAAGTCCATGGTTATAACAAAACATGATGTCATGAATATGTATTTTTGATGTGAACATAGATTGTGGGAGAAGCTATGTTGAGGCCAGGTGCTGAATGTCAAAGCGCCAAACTATCTGTTACAGACATTAATACATTGAAGGGTACCAGAGATACAGTTATTCTTGGTGATATTGAGCCATTATACGGCTTGAATAACGCTCAGAGTAATGCTTCTACAAATATCACAGTTTTTGATAACTCTGAACAAAGCCTTGCATTATGTGATACGACAATTCAACAAGAGCCTGGTAGTATTAACCATACTGAACATAAATCATACAGATATTTCTCATCACATTCTGTCACAATCAGCCAACATTTAAACAAATGAAACTTCCACTTTGTTACTACAGACACAGAGGGTCTGGTTTAGAGGGTTGCCTCACCCGGGGGTGGGAGGGGGACTTGGCCAGGGACTGCAGCAGCTTGTTCATGTCGTCCACTCCAAGGCTGCAGTTGGAGATGGTGACGGCTTGGAGGTTGTCCTTGATCTCAATAGTCTGCATGATCTCCACAACCTGAAGTCGACACACATGGTAGGTAGGTATCATCGCAAACACATCTGTAAATATCTACCAACTGCAACTAAATTCCAGCAAACAAGATAAACTCGACATAACAAGGAATTATGTTTGCCCACCCCACCGATCGACTGATACAGAGACCCGTGAAGATCCGGGTTAGAATGAATCTTCAGTAACCCATGCTTGTCATAAGAGGCAACTAACGGGATCGGGTGGTCAGACTCGCTGGCTTTGTTGACACATGTCATTGGTTCCTAATTGCGCAAATCGATGCTCATGCTGCTGATCACTGGATTGTCTGGTCCAGACACGATTATTTACAGACCGCCACCATATAGCTGGAATATTGCTGAGTGCGGCGTCAAACTAAACTCACTCACTCACTCACTCACTGATACAGAAATAGATACAACAGTAACAAAGTGCAAGGCAATCAGCATTTGAGTTTCACCACGGAGCAGGGAATTGTGGTTTGATAACAGCCTCTTTTTTAACGTTTAGGAGCTCAAAAAGAGGTGTATAATTTGTTCTTCTACAATATGTAAAAACAATTCAGTAAAACAACGTTCATTGATTTCTTAAATCCTGCACCCCTCTACCCCTCCCTCCCCTTTTTACATTACACATCAAGCATTTGTTCCACTACAAATGTTCCAGTGGTATATATACTGGCACTCTGAAGTTTTGAGTTCTGGAGATGTTGTGGTTTGTGTCAGTCTTGCATCTACAGATATACAGTGCAATGTTCCAGTGGTATATATACTGGCACTCTGAAGTTTTGAGTTCTGGAGATGTTGTGGTTTGTGTCAGTCTTGCATCTACAGATATACAGTGCAATGTTCCAGTGGTATATATACTGGTGCACTGAAGTTCTGAGTTCTGGAGATGTTGTGGTTTGTGTCAGTCTTGCAACTACAGAGTAATCTGACATCTACTTTCAGTATTGTGGGTTGTTTTAATCACACATATACCACAGCCAATGTAGTGTTAATGGTCAAGGGTGTATATAGTAACAGGTTGGAGATAATATACCCTCGACAATCACAGATGAGAAGAAAGTTGACTACCTGTGCTTTAGTGAGGTTGATGTTGTTTATGTCGATGGCATTCTGGTCCTCCAGCAGTGGGGTGAGACTTCCTGGGTGCATCGTCTGTGGCGGCGCTTGCACAAATTCTAGAACAGACTGCCATTTGGCAGCATCATCATCTGCTACTCTGTCAGGGTCATTACCTGTAAAATCAAGGCAAATATATAAATAATCGCACAGCAGTCACGAAATAAACATATATTCTTTATCATTTACGATATTGATATTGATTCACTTCCATCATATTTTAGTAGTAGTAGTAGTAGTCATAGTAGTAGTAGTAGTAGTAGTAATAGTAGTAGTAGAATCAGTTATTCATGAAGTTAATCAGCGTTCGAAATACTTGACTGCTCAACCGCCCAGGACTGGTTATTTTCAACACGGACTGACAGATTCTCAAATTCACCTGCCCGACGCTCGGGTTAATATATAGACATGTATATGAAGATATTCATCATATATCAGGATAATAAATCATTATCAATTCACTCGTAAAAATAAGTGATGAATTCTAATTGTCAAACCTAAATTATTTGTGGGCAGGTATGTTTTGGTCAGGGCTGGCAAGTTTTACATCTAACCAGCCCTGTGGTCTGACTGAAATTTCATACCCTGAGATAATATATACTGGGTATATACTGGGTATTACTCTATTTACATTGTTGTTGTTGTTGATATTAAGTCTATCTTATGTACCTCCATGCATGTTTTCAGCTTCACTTTCACTGGTTCGTCTTGTCTGACCATCTTCCCCTGATGAAAAATGGATCTTATTAGAAAGTGTTAATACATTACAATACTTAACCTCTAGCTACAAACTGACACATTTGTATTACTTGATTTATAGATTAGAAATTGTAATACATTGCAAAGCATATTATTCAATAGATCATTTAAAACCAAGGTCAGAGATTCTTGGAATGACAAGTCAAAGAGTTACTTCCCTTTCCATTTGTATTTTCATGTTGAAACTCAACAGAATCAGTGCAATAAAACAAATACATTTGAAATTCTGATTATAATCCACATTTCATTCCATATCATGAAACCAAGTAATACAAAATTGATACATAAAAGTACATAATAAGCTCTCTCCAGTATAATTAATAAATAGGGCTCTGAGGAATACCTGAGAGCTCAAATGCGGTTGAATTGACCTGATATGAAAGTCAAGGACTTGTGTACCCAATCAGGGGAGACAACTCACTTCTTAACAAATGCTGTGGATATTTAGAAATGAAACTTCACACACTTTACAGTGTCTGGATGCATTTTTACTTAGATTATATCTAGACACAATGACAGTTGTGTGGCATATCACAACAGAAATTGGGTATACAAGTCCAGGTGAGGGTTTTGAAGCACAGGTCCAATTACATGGATACTCGTGTCTATTTGTTCTCCCAGTCAGAGCCCCAATTCAAAACTCCAACCAACCTGTCTTGTCATCAGATTCTGCTGAATGTTTTGGCTGATACTCAAACTGTTCTGGCAATCCACCAGTCTGTCTGGGGCCCTGTACGGGTGTTGCCGCCCGATCCTGCCACTCCCCACTTCCCTGGCCCTCTCTTATATCAGGTGTGGTTGGGATGACTACAACAGTTGGGACCGGAGGGGGAACTGGCTCTGAGCAACGACAGTCCAGTATCACAAACTTTGTTCCTATTGTTTTATGGTGCCATGGCTAATAAATGTTTGGCAGTATTTTAATTTTGTAGGAAATGTATTTATAATTTCAGATGACATTAATGCAATTATTTAAAATGAAATATATACAGTTATGTTTAGCTACCCTAAAATAATCATTACAGAGTGTTATGATTAGCTGTTGATTCAAGCAAATGTTTCAGTATGTAATTGGATGTGTGACAGATTGCTGATGTATGTGTGTACAATTATCTGTTTCAGATGTGCAGTGTCTGCATGAATAACATAATCAGAGCTTCACAAACATCTTAGCAATAACATGGGTACTGGGGATTGGGTCCTGTCTCAACCTTCCTGTCAGTCAGTACAGCTGGTATTATTCTCAGTATTTAATGGGGAAGAGGGGCCACAGAGGTGCCACAGAGGGCCACAGAGGACCGCAGAGGGGCCACAGAAGAAAGCAGAGGGCCACAGAGGGGCCACAGTGGGGCCACAGAAGGCTGCAGAGGAGCCACAGAGGGGCCACAGAAAGCTGCAGAGGGTCCACAGAGGGGCATCAGAGGGGCCACAGAAGGCTGCAGAGGGGCCACAGAGGGCCACAGAGGGTCAACAGAGAGCCACAGAGGGGCAACAGAGGGGCCACAGAAGAAAGCAGAGGGCCACAGAGGGGCAACAGAGGGCTACAGAGGGGCCACAGAGGGGCCACAGAGGGCCACAGAAGGCTGCAGAGGGGCCACAGAGGGTCAACAGAGGGCCACAGAGGGCCACAGAAGGCTGCAGAAGGGCCATGGAGGGCCACAGAGAGACTACAGAAGGCTGCAGAGGGGCCGCAGAGGGGCCACAGAGGGCCACAGAAGGCTGCAGAGGGGCCACAGAAGGCTGCAGAGGGGCCACAGAAGGCCACAGAAGGCTCTAGAGGGGCCACAGAGGGCCGCAGAGGGGCCACAGAGGGCCAGAGTCAACTTTTTGTCCTGTTCCACTAGGTCTAATCATTACTACTACGAGGGAGCACACCTGTTATAAATAATATCCTACTGAAAGACTAAGCTATTGTCAGAGAGACAGCATTACGTCAGACTCTTTCTGAAATTGGTCTACAGATCTGCCATTTCTAAAAGGGAAACTATCTACAAAGCCCCAAGAATGTCAAGTATACCTTCATCAGCAAAATCATGCTGAACAATAAGCTGGTGTGATCACTACATTAATACTGCACACATGGCAATGTATTCTAGTAATGTCTTCAAGAACAAAAGTGAAACCAGAATTGTCTCTATAATTTTCAGTGTTATTTCGCACCTACCAAACACAATTTGAAAGAAATATCTGTAAACTAAGAAATAAATGTCTGCTTTGTTATTGGGTGAGATGGGAAAAGTGTCTATTGTGATAAATCAGGTTATATTCTATACAGGGTCACAGTGTTACAGAGTCACATGTTGGCTACATATCTATATTATACCTGTCTGTCCAGCTGGATGAGATTTTGAAGGAGACCTCGGTGGTGATGGAAATGTCGTCTGCTCTGGTTGCGGTGTTGCATGTGGAGCAGGAAGCTTTGTCTGCTGTGGTTCCTCTGAGTCAGATACTTCAGTTTTAGCTCCATCACCACCACTTGAACGAGTTGACACCACAGCTGGAGTAACATCGTTTACTGTCTTGGAAGCAGCGTCCTCCCTAGAGTCGCCTGTCTGGGGGGAGGTGTCCTTATGTCCCCGGGGAGTTTCTTCCTGCACAATCAGTTCCCCCTCACTCTCTGACTCCATCTCTGAGGATGAGCTGGAGGAGGCGCTGCTGTCACTGCTGGAGTCCACACTGGACGACCCGGAGTCTGCTGTAATGTGTATACTGTGTTACAAGACTTACATCACATCATCAGGACAACTGGTGACACCTCACATCTCATGCTACTTACAGCATCGCTGAATAAAGGAGTACTCTACCTGCAGCTGTGAGGTTGAATCAGTTTCAAAACATAATCAGGACTGTGACCATCTTCCAACCAAGATCACTGACCAACAGAATTCTTCAACTGCTCACTTACTCCCTTACATCAGTGAACACTGTCTCTATGATTTCAACTAATGAACCCAGGTTTATTACCATTACTGAACAATGGTCTACTGAATAATAATAATGGGAATTCATAAAACTCTTGTATCCATGCACTTGTGCATGGTCCAAGTGCTAAGACATTATTACCCTGGATAACCCAAGCTGCTGTGAGGGTCTAAAAGGTTAACATACCTATCACACCTGGTACCAATTCACTGCTGGGTGAACAGAGGGACTTTTTAACAAATTCTCTTGCCTAAGGTGAGACCACATGTGTCACATGTGCTTCATTGAGGGGCACGACAGAAGTCCAAGAAACTCTTAGGAGTCAAGCTACAGAACACGGTCACCCATCCAAGGACTGTCGCTTAACAACCGACGACGCTTAACTTCACCTGATTTGTGACCTGGGAGGGACGATGGGGTAGCCTAAGGGTTAAAGCGTTGGCTCGTCACGCCGAAGACCCGGGTTCGAATCCCCACATGGGTACAATGTGTGAAGCCCATTTCTGGTGTCCCCGCCGTGATGTTGCTGGAATATTGCTAAAAGCGGCGTAAAACCAAACTCAGTCAGTCAGTCAGTGTGACCTGGGCTCTATGCACAAGACCACACACCACCACAGCATTAAAATGTCCCTTTTCCCAGCACTATATAGTCTATCAAATTTGGTTCTCCTTGGTTGCCTTATAACATACCACACCTTAATGTGACTCTAATGTAACCATGACTTAAGTACTGTACTTGACATTCAGCATTCTTAATATTGCATAACACTAAGTGTTGCTTTCTTGAACAAGAATATTCTCCATCCATTGTATTAGGCAACTGTTAATTAGTTTTTTAACATGAAGTTATCTTCGAATAATCATCTCGTTACATTACAAGTAAAACAATTGTAACTCCACAGAGAACAGACAATGACATTTAGCAATGAGCAATTAACATGCATGCACACATAACAAGAGCAACACAAAAAATATCAGAGAAGAATCTTTTTCAAAAGATACGTAAATAAAGCCAAAATAAATATCATCTACCATTATAAAACTGTAGCCCCTGCTTCACATCTAAGTCGTCAAAGCCTTACCACGTTTCTTCCCATCACCATCAGGAGAGTCCTTCTTTTCACTTCTGCCAGCAGCAGTCATGAGACTTTCCGAGTCCATATCTGGGGGGACAGCAGGAGCCATTATTGCCGCTGCTGCCACGATAGCGCTGGACAAGACTGCCCGTTTCTCACTCACTACGGCATTGTCAGCATTCTGCTGCATGTCATTGGTAGAGTCAGCTGGGCCTTCAGCAGCATCTACAGGGGCTGGGCTCATTGCTGGTTTACCCATGTATTTGTCTTGACTAGATTTATCAGATTCCTCATCACTTAAGGCTTTACTACTGACTTTCTCTTTCCTTGTTGGGAATGGTGTGATTGGCCGGGCTGATCTCTCACTTTCAGATCCTGAGGCAGATCTAGAACTGGAACTTACTGACTCCTCTACATTTTTGGAATCACCTTTGGACTCAGTTTTCTGGGCTGGAGCCCTGTCTTTGCCAGGGCCTGATTCTAAGTCATCAGATTCTGAATCAGATGATGAATAAGAACTGGAATCTTCTGATGAACTGCTTGACTCTCTGACACTTTCAGATTCTCCAGCCCGAGTAGCAGTTGATTCTGGTTCTGACCTAGCAGAGTCCATCAAGGGAGGGAGAGTTGTCTGTTTCGAGACCAAGGATTTCTCTGCCGGTATCTCATTTCTGGGTTCTTCTTCCTCCTTGCTTGGTGATAGTTTATTCTTTTCTTCTTTAATCTTCTCTTCCTTCCTCTCCTCCTCTTCCTCCTGTTGAACCAAAGTCTCTGCTACAGGAGATTTGGGTCGATCTGGCAGACTAGTTGGCCTACTCTCTGCATCAGATGCTGAGGATGATGAAGTAGAACTCTTGTAAGAGTCTGATCTGTCACTCAGCACAGTAGCCTCTGCTATACGAGATGGCGTTCGATCTGCCTCGGAAACAACCCCCAAAGTTTTGGTTGGACTAACTACTTTTCTCTCAGCCACATCTCTGGGGGTACTGTTCTCGGATGGCGATGATGATGAGGAGGAGGAGGAGAAAGAGGATTCAGAAGAGGAGTAATCGCCATCTCTGTCCTCTTCCCGTCCTGGAGGTTTTAGCTGTGTCACAGGAGGAGATGATCTGTTGCTAGCAGCAGTGTCTTTCACCTGGACTGTCTCAGGTTTAACAGTGTCCTCTTTCTGAGACACTGTAAAGAATAATGTCCTGGCTTTACTAGACCTTTCATTATCATTGTTTGATTCACCATTCTTTGAGGCTTCCCTTGGGGCAGCTAATAAAGAAATTACAAAATGAGCCTAGCTATCAGTTTCTACAAAGTTTCAAACAAAGTAGTAACATCTTCATCATGCAAGGATATGGCATACAGGTAATGCAATGAACAACTAATGCAAGATACAGATACTGCAACAAACTAAAGATGCATACACAGATATTGCAAGATACAGGTTATAAGAGATACACTTAATGCAAATTACAGGTAAGTCAAGATCAAGCTAATGCAAGACAGATCTAGAGGTAATGCAAGATAGGGTAACACAGGATACAGGTAATGCAACATATAGGTAATGCAGGATACAAGTCAGGCAAGATACAGTTAAAGCAAGATACAAGTCAGGCAAGATACAGTTAATGTAACTGTAAGATTCAGGATACAGCAAATGCCAGGTACAGGTAATGCAAAAATCAGGTAAGCAAGATACTGATCAGGCAAGACACAGGTAATGCAACAAACAGGTAAATGCAAGATATGGGTAATACAGAATACAGGTAATGAAAGAGTCCTGCAAAGCAAAATACAGCTAATGCAAGATGCAGGTTATGCAAGATATAATTAAACACACAGGCAATGCAAGATTATGGATAATACAGAATACAGGAAATGCAAGATCATGGATAATACAGAATACAGGCATTGCAAGATGCAGATAAATGCAAGATGCAGATCATGCCAAACAAACAGGTCATGCTAAATACAGTTCAAGCAAGATATAGGCCATGCAATAAACAGATGATGAAAGATATAGGTCATGCAAAACAAACAGGTCTTGCTAGGAATAGGCCATGCAAGTTACAAATAATGCAAGATAGGGAATTTCCAAAATGCACATAATCAGTTACTTGAAAATATAATATCTGAAAGTTTTCTTAAAAGAGAGACAGAAACTGCAATTACAGACCATTATTTACATTATTTACTCCCCCCTCCCCTTCGTCCTCCAACTGATACAGTGTGCATGATGTTGACAAGGGCACATGCAACACATATACATACAATGGAAGGGATCAGTACCATCATGAAAAAGTGTTAAGAAGAGAAAAACCTGTTTCAAGTGGAGAAAAGATCACAAATGAGATAAAGCATAAAGCTGACTACCATAAATATCATGGACAAGAATCATGCAGCATTGTTATAGGCTGGGAAGATCCTACAGGATTGTTATAGGCTGGGAAGATCCTACAAGACTGTTATAGGCTGGGAAGATCCTACAGGATTGTTATGAGCTGGGAAGATCCTACATGATTGTTATAGGCTGGGAAGAAGATCCTACAGGATTGTTATAGGCTGGGAAGATCCTACAGGACTGTTATAGGCTGGGAAGATCCTACAGGATTGTTATGGGCTGGGAAGATCCTACAGGATTGTTATGGGCTGGGAAGATCCTACAGGACTGTTATGGGCTGGGAAGATCCTACAGGATTGTTATGGGCTGGGAAGATCCTACAGGATTGTTATGGGCTGGGAAGATCCTACAGGATTGTTATGAGCTGGGAAGATCCTACAGGATTGTTATGGGCTGGGAAGATCCTACAGGATTATTATGGGCTGGGAAGATCCTACAGGATTGTTATGGGCTGGGAAGATCCTACAGGATTGTTATGGGCTGGGAAGATCCTACAGGATTGTTATGAGCTGGGAAGATCCTACAGGATTGTTATGGAGCTGGGAAGATCCTACAGGATTGTTATGGGCTGGGAAGATCCTACAGGATTATTATGAGCTGGGAAGATCATACAGGATTATTATGAGCTGGGAAGATCCTACAGGATTGTTATGAGCTGGGAAGATCCTACAGGATTGTTATGGGCTGGGAAGATCCTACAGGATTGTTATGAGCTGGGAAGATCCTACAGGATTGTTATGAGCTGGGAAGATCCTACAGGATTTTTATGGGCTGGGAAGATCCTACAGGATTGTTATGAGCTGGGAAGGTGCTACAGGATTTTTATGAGCTGGGAAGATCCTACAGGATTTTTATGGGCTGGGAAGATCCTACAGGATTGTTATGAGCTGGGAAGGTGCTACAGGATTTTTATGGGCTGGGAAGGTCCTACAGGATTTTTATGGGCTTGGAAGATCCTACAGGATTGCTATGAGTTGAGAAGAATCTACAGGATTTTTATGAGCTGGGAAGGTCCTACAGGATTCTTATAGGCTGGGAAGATCCTACAGGATTGCTATGAGTTGAGAAGAATCTACAGGATTGAATATCAAGATGGACCCACCTAATTTCTTTTCAACCACAATGGTTTTGTCTTTCTTGCCATCTAAATCTTCCTCTTCTGATGAGTATCCCTCCACCTAAGCAACAAATGTGGAATCAAACCTACGTCTGCTGTGCTACCTCACTTCCCTTACTGGAACATGGGCACAACATGGAAGAAAGTCAACTCTGGTCAGTTATTGTTTTCAAAATCATAACACACTGTGTTCGTTTCTTTGTTTGTTTAATGACACACACAATATTCCAGCTATATAGGAGTAAGTAGATAATCAAGTCTGGACCAGACAATCCAGTGATTGACATCATGAGCATCCAGCAGTTGGGATATTAGGACATACATCACCCAAATCATCAGGCCTGACCACCTGATCCTGTCAGTCACCTCCCATGAAAAGCATGAGATGTTGAAGATCAGTTCTAACCCAATTCTTCATGGGTCCCATAACACTGATATTGCTTTCTAGAAATGATGAACTGGTATATTTGTAGTAAGTTTCGTCACCTCAGGAATATGATACATTCCCATCAAATTGACAAGGACCGAGACTTTGGATTTGTTACTGAGTGAGTGAACATGTTTTGATGAGCAAGATAGGTGAATGACGCTTTGGATTCCCTACATGCTGTGAAGACCCGTGAAGATCCGGGTTAGAATTTGTCTTCAGGAACATGTGGCATTAAACAACAAACAAACCAACTACAAACTGTGAAGCCTATTTGTGCTGTCCTCAGCTATTATATTGCTGAAATATTGCAAAAGAAAAGCATAAAACTATACTAACTCACTTTTAAAACACTGTTTTAGTTGTTTCAACACATGTAACGTTTACATCTTCAGGAAGACTAATGATACACGTGACGTGTAACCTTTTGGCTCTTTTGAATTGACCCTTACAGACCTTTCGTAAAGTGTCATCTTCAAAATCCTCCACTGCATCAGGATTTGCAGATTTTTCAGCTGAAACAAATGCATTCTTTTCGTCCCCTTTCTCATCGTCGGCAAAGTCGGCGGCAAGTCCTCTGATCTGACGTTTGTCCTCCTCCTCCTCCTGTTCCTCAGCTATTGGCTCATCAACTGCTTCCTGTTGCTTCCCCTGACTGTCCCAGTCCTTGTGGTAGAGCACTACAGTGGCAAGATCACATGATGAACACAAAAAGGAAACATATAACGACAAATTATTGTACAGTCCCTACCCAACAAGATCTATAGGTATCAGGATTAGTCAACTGTGAAGCCTTGTTAACCTGAACTGTAAATGAATATAACCAACATTACCTCAGAATGGCAGGTGAATCCTGCATGCTATGGTTGAATATCACCACATAGACTCAATCTATGGAGAAATACTTCTAAAATAGTTAAAGAAAACCTGATTTTACATTTAACAAAAGTATAAGCTGTCTTGTCATGAAAGATAAACTATAGTCAGAACAATATGTGTTTATCAGTTTTAAAGTAATTTCACTATAGTCACATAGAATAATGAGTGTTCTTAATGTCTTTTGAGTAGTATATCAATTAACAAGGTTTCACAGTTCACCAATAGTTCATATTTTGGGTCATTTCTTCATCTCTGACAGGATTCTTAATCTGGATGCACAATCAAGAATGTTGCTGTGTAAACATGATTACCAGAACTGTATGTTTGTCAAGACTGTGGATGCAAGTGACCAACATCCTTCCCTCCACATCTTACCTTGTTAGCAGTCACCCCTTACAATACAAATGGTGCCAAGTTGTATTTAGTCTATTTAAATTTTGGTTCCATAGCAACTGATATACCTTTGAAATAGTCCAAGCCAGTTGGTCTCAATGAGTAGGCAGATGAAGAGAAAGCTGGATCTTAGCGCTAAGATCACAACCTTAACTCTGACACAAGAAGTCATAGCGGTAAAATCACTTCCGAGGAATGCAGTTCCAGGTACCAGTCACAAACAGGTCTCTTACCTGGTGTCATGAGGTCAATGTATTGTGTTACTGTATTTCATGCATTAAAGCACCTACTGCACATTAAAAGTTAATACAAGGTATTTGCTTGTTACCAAATTTGTTTTCTTCTGTATAACCTGCAGCGAGTTTCTGAGTGTGCCTTTGTTTGTGGATGCTTGCTGACCAATCATTTTGGACAGGTCCAAACATGTACAATTTTGCAGAACTCAATATCAATTTTACGACATTTGTCATAAAGTTGTTCGGATTAGTGGGAAAGTGTGCATGATGATTCTGTCTCCATAGTCAGTTGATACTGTATGCTCAGCATAGAAATAGACTGTCTGCATGCTGTATGAGGACATACAGATAAACTGTCTGTCTGTACGCTGTATGCTCAGCAGCATGTATATGAATCTCTGTAAGATGTGTCTTATAGATGAGACTTCAACATACTCTTCAAAAAAAGTAGGGGAACTGAACTTTCAAGTTGGATAGGAAGTATAGAATTGTAAACAAACTTTTAAAAGAGAGACATGTTATGAACACACCACCATTTCTCTTTATCACAACACCTAAACATAACGCATGGGATGCACATGCACGACGCATTAACATGCATGGGGTGTCATTCTTGATTTTGACGGTTTTCAAGAAGGTTGATAAATCACTATAGACCATTAATTTTGACAATCATCTTGCATCACACAGTTGTTAGTGTTTGTTTTTAGCTGCTTTTTTTGTTTGAAAATGAAAATTGTACACATGCAAATTTCACATCATACACCCATTACTGCACAAACAACTATAGTCATAAAGAAGTGCAAGTGGTGATGCACTCTCAAAACATTCATAATTATTATATCAACATTGATTGACTCCACTATATCTCCCAATTTTTTCAATCGTAAATTAATAATAAAGTTCCCCTACTTTTTTCAAGCGTATACAATACATCAGGTCCCATTTGCACTAAGCAATCTTAGCGCTACAACCATCATAAGTCATTACATGTTAAAGTGTCAGAGTTACCATTGATTTGTGCAAGTGGCCCCTAAGCAGTTACTATTTGAAAAGTGAACAGTCACATTTGTGATTTTAGTTTCCATGTACATTTTAACTGACTTAGGATAGAGTGTGTAAACTTTAAATATAACAGTTAGTCTAGGACCCTTTACACACAATGATCTTAATGCTGGGATCATCGTTAACTCCAATACTTACCATAAGCTTACAATAGTTGTAGTACTAAGATAATTCTTGTAACAGGTCGTTGCTTTTTTAAAACCATCTTAGCAATTCTAACTCCCATACAATAACACACGCTCATGATCTTCATTCAGATAATTTGTGTCCCTGTCTAAACAAAGCCTTGCTGTATCCTGTATCTTGAACTGCTCCTGTTTCTCCTGGCAGCTTTGTATTTGCAGGAATCTGGCTTGATTCAAGGTATTGGTTCTGATAGAGTATAGTCCGAATAGATCTTGTGGTTAGGTTACTTTGAGGACATGAATATCAATACACCCAACTGTGTACATGTACCTGGTTTATCCACCTATAATTAGTAATCTCGAGCTGACCTTCAGAGACCAATATGTCATCACAACAAGTGGTTTCAGAGTAAGGCCTCTTCAGTATCACCTTTCTAAAAAGATTTTGGGGAAAATATTTTTTTCGGCAAATGTTATACTCACAGTTCCAAATAAATTTGATGGATATGTAAATATTTGTCAAATTGATTTTTAGCGTGGGAATCGGTGAGAGTGAATTTATTACACCCAAAACTGAAGAAGAATAACCATCACAAACTACTGAACAGTTTCCAAGAGGAAAAAAATTACTTACTACTTCATGGCAAAATTAGTTTATTTCAACTTTAATTTAACTCAAGTGTATATGTATATGTACAATAACAAACAAATAAATATATGGTAATATACAAGAAATAAATTATTAAAATATAATGAGGGAATGTTTGAGACCAATATCTTAAAATTAAAGATAAAATAAAGTGAAACAACAACCATTATAAACATGACAAACAGCTATAGTTCTGTTAAACATATTTTCCGTACCTAGTGCTTTGTAAAGAGTACTTGAATTTCACTGATTAAAATACCCAAAATGGCTTAGTTTGATACAATGTTATTAACACCTCAAAATAATTCTTTTATCACAATTTGCTTGCATTTAGTTCCATGTCTATACACATGATGATCTGTGGTTATATTTCTTGCCTATCTGTGATCATGTTTCCTGCCTATCTGTGGTAATGTTTGATGCCTACCTGTGGTAATGTTTGATGCCTACCTGTGGTAATGTTTAATGCCTATCTGTGGTCATGTTTCTAACCCATCTGTGGTCCAGGCCAACAATGGTTTGCAAATAATGTTGTATTCTACATCAGAAATTTACACTGATATAACATCAAGGCACATGTGATTTAACAGTAGATTAGCACATCTGATAATGGTTCTGGATGAACACTGTATGATGACTAGGATTACCACCCTGTGATGTTCTCCAAAATACCAACATAAGTACATTTGTACTATATCCTCCACCAATCTAAACAGAAAAGAATGTGTTCAGGCTTAAATACTGATAGCAACACCAAATGAAAAGAAATGCTTCCTTTCACAAGTCTGAACCGAAATATCAATAAATCACAGCAGGATACACATTGAGGCCAAACATACTTCACCAGAATCCATCAACAAGTCACTAATACCAGTCAATATAGAATATGAGCAGTAGAATCTTTCAAAACTATTTCACAATTAAACAGGTGGTAATGACAATCCTTCCCCATATCTGTCTCCTTCAATAGAAGTAACACCTGTTGCTGGTTTGAATTGCCAGATGAAGATCATGTCATGAAGTTTCAAAACACGATGGTCATTAAAAAGGTAACATGAAGATCAAATCCTGAAGGTTATATATGATCACATCTTGAAGATCATACAAAAGTTATATCACATTAAGATATCAGATAAGTAAAGATGAGATCAGAAAGTTGAGACTGAAGTTCAGAAGCATAATCCCTGTCTTTTTGAGCAGTGCAAATATTGTTCAATCCACATGTTCAGTGATGATGGTGGGCACACTCTGGCTTTCTTCCCTGAGCAACGCTACACTAGGCTTATCCTGTGTGTACAGCCCTGTGTCCTCTGAGGTTAAGGTCCTATCAGGAACAGATCCAGCCGCAGCCTCTGCTGACGAGTTCCTTTCTGATTCAGTATCAGAAGACGTAATCCTGTCATGTCTGATAAGAACAGGAGGAGTTCTGTATTGCCTGACTTCAGAAGGAGGAACCTTATACTGTCCCGGTGTCAGCAATTCTGTCAGGAGACAAAGTCCTTCCTGGACTACCATCAATGCTATCTCTACGTGGAGACTGTGTCCTTGTCCTTTCTTCATCCTGGACCTTTTCATGTGAAGGTTGGCATCCTCCCTCCACCAGGATGATCGGAATCTGCTGCTGCATGTCTTCAACTCTTGATGACTCTATACTTGGCTTCATCTTAGCATCACACTCTTGTGGGCTGATGACCTCAGCCTCCTGGTTAGCATGGGAACCTCCAGTCCACACGTCACGATCCTTGTTCTCAATGCCACTGCATGGTACTGACAACAGACTTTCACCACCCGCACTCACTCTCCTCGTCACACCCTTGGGGTTATTTGAATTGATATCAGCCAGTGTGACCTCAACATTGTTGTACTGTTCATCTGATGTGGTCTGCATGTTTCTGGGTTCTTCTTCAGCTCCAGATAACTTTCTCTCCTGACTGATCTGTCCTGATGCTGCCATGTGAGCTTCTGTGCTGTCAATGAGAATTTTTGGCAAGTCAGCTGGAGGAACAACTTCTTGTCCTTTTCCTGCTTCAGGATTACTTTGATCAACATCAGACAACCCTGAAGTTATCTTCTCCCTTGAACTATTTTCAATGTCATCAGGAGATCTCTGTCCATGGTTTAAATTCTTCTTGTATGACAGTTCCTGGTCTTCAGTCCCAGCTCGTTCATCCAGTTCATTTAGCCGAGCAGCATACTGAGCCACCATGTCTTCCGATGTTTCACTCCCTGAGGTCCCCTGGTCTCTACTAACACCTTCTGCTGACACTCCTTCAACATCTGACTCTGTGCCTCTCTCATCCATCTCCTCCTCGTAGCCAACAGTGACATGTTCC